AATATTTCCACATAGTGAGGTAGATATGTGGGGCGTGTTAGAACGAGGCGTTTTAGGGGGGCGTGGCAGAGTCTTAACTTTGATAAAGAATATCTCTTTGGTTTTGAGACTTTAGTCTTTGCAACTTCAGGGATCTTATCTATGCACAATCAGCTTGTAACACTCCAAAGAGAAAGGAAAAATTGAAATCACATCATATGACCCCTTTAAATGCTGAACTTTTTTTATCAAAGAATCCAGAAAAAAACGCATCACGGTTTCCACAAATAATAAGCAGCACAACTTTTTCCAACATGCATGATTAAATCAGCATATCAGAAAGATTTCTGAAGATCATGTGACACTGAAGACTGGAGGAATGATGCTTTGCTTTTACTTGAATAAATAATGTCTATAACGGTACATTAAAATGGAAAATAGCTATTTGAAATTGTAATCATATCTTGCAATATGACTGTATTTTGCTGTATTTGTGATCAAATAAATGCTGCCTTGGTGAGCAAGAGAAAAAATATCTTGAGATTGCTGTCAGGATGCTAGAATTTAAATGAATTGAAAATGAAAGGAAGAAATTTATGTTGCTTTTTTAACTGAAAACATATAAAAAGCTTTGCTTTTCTAGTTTATATATCTGATCACATTAACTTTACCAATGGACCAAAGTAGAAGAATTCTTCATTTCCCGTAATTCTTTCTTCTTATTATTCCAGTTCAAGCGGGGTTTATTTTAAATTTTATGATGCTGTTTAAAAAAATACTTTAATATTTAAGGCAAGGTTCAAAAAGGTGTGACTTTAAAAGCAGACCTTGAGCCAAAAACTCATCAGCAAACACCTGTGACTTGTACATTAGAACAGAAAAAGGCACTTCCAAAACTGTGGCAACAAAGATGGAAACATAATTAAAAATTGTATTTCCATCTCTGTTGCAACAGTTTTGGAGGTGTCTAAAATGACTGTATTCATATGTACAAGTCACAGGTGTTTGCTGATGAGTTTTCGGCTCAAGGTCTGCTTTTAAAGTCACAGCAGAGGTGTTCAGACCAGTCAAGTTCTTCCACACTGACTCAATCAATCAGTTCTGTTTGAACCTTGCTTTATACACAGAGGCATTGTTGTGTTAGAACAGAAAAGGGTCCTGTCCGAACTATTGGTATAAAATTAGAAGCACACAATTCCATAGAATAGCATTATATGCTTAAAACTATTAAGATTTGTATTCATGGAGATGACTAAAGGAGTCAAACCTGTTTATTAAAAGGGGGGTCCAATACTTTTGGCAGTATGGTGCGTTGTCTGTAGTTGTGAAAGTCGCTCTGTCCTCTGCTTGTATAAAAGTGTCACCGTGCCAAACATCCAGCCGTGTTCCTCAAGTGTAGAAAATGCTGCACTGTCATTATGTTGACAGTAAGGCTATTACTGTAATAAAGCAGCCAATGTAGCGCAGTCATTTAGTTGAGACTGACTCGTTCTCTCTCTCGCAGCTCATTGCACACAACATTATCCTTTTTTTTTTTCACCTAAATGCTGAACTTTTTTTATCAAAGAATCCACAGTCTCCACAAATATTGAGCAGCACGACTGTTTGGTTTAGGGGTAGGGTTGGTGTAGGGCAATAGAATATACGGTCTGTACAGTATAAAAACCATTACGCCTATGGAGAGTCCCCATAAACCATAAAAACAAACCTGTGTGTGTGTGTGCGTGTGTGTGTGTGTGTGTGGTGCGTGCGTGTGTGTGTGTGGCAGAGAGAATCAGAGTCTTGGATTGAGGATTAAGAGTGAACATAGATAGTCTGACATGAGCAAAAGTGGCAGGGTGGATTTGTAAAGCACACCCTGTAGCTCTTCCGCTCTCCTCCGTTATCCCTTTTCCGCACTCTCCCTTTTTTCTCCTGACGGAGAGAGGGGTCAGTGACACATTATCTGTGACAAGCACTGTGTGTTGAGGACGGGATAAAGTACACACACACACATACGGAGTTATGATAGGTCACGGCACCAGCTGGGGTGTATTCAATTTTCCTGCCGTAATCGGTGTAACCTTGTTCCTAAAATCCAATGACGGAAAAATATGCCATGTGTTGATGATGAATTAATGGACTATTTGTCTCTCCTCTCTCGCCTTTTCCCTCTCCTTCCCCATTACATTATTTCTCACCGTATGAATATAATCTATCCCCATCTTTCCTCCCGCTCTCACTGTTTGTCGTTCAGCGGATGGATGGCTCCAGCGTGTGGTGATTCTGGGTTCAGAGGCTCATGTGATCGAAGAGATCCAGCTGTTTGATCGGCAGCAGCCGGTGGACAGCCTCACCATCTCACACAGCAAAGTAATTTCTGATCTCTTTGAGCGCAGCTCTCACGCCTGGCTAGCATTAACCCTTTAAAACACTTTATTTTAAGGTGTCCTATTGTCTATTTTTTAAGATGAACTGATTTTTCCAAGGCTTTGTTAGATGCCCGTGTTCCCCGTCATAACTATGCAAAGACTTGATTTCAAAACAGTTTCATAGCTGTTAAACTGTATCTTGTTATGATTTAAAATTAGTGTTTAACCTCAGAACGATCTCAAAGTGAAAAGAGGTTTTAAAGTCTGATTTCGTGGTGGCTGCGCTTTAAACTAAGTTATTATAATCTGAATTCATCTTAATTAATCTTAACGCATCTCTTTCATCTTTATTTGACCCTCTAACTCTAGCACTCTCTATTCTAATTCTATTCTTTATAAAAAATATATATATAGAAAAACTTGCCCCTTAGACTTGCACTATATTTATTTACTAACTGCTGGTTTTATTTTTTATTTTTTAAACTAATACTTGCTTCTCTAATCTTTTTGCATTCTACCTATTTGTTTTCTTTTTATTTATTATACCATTATAATTCTAAAAGCGTCTGCTGATGTCTCAGTGTAATGTAATGTAAGTCAAGTGATGAAGGATTCTGAAAGTGTTTCATCTTTATTTGACCCTCTAACTCTAGCACTCTCTATTCTAATTCTATTCTTTATAAAAATATATATATATAGAAAAACTTGCCCCTTAGACTTGCACTATATTTATTTACTAACTGCTGGTTTTATTTTTTAAACTAATACTTGCTTCTCTAATCTTTTTGCATTCTACCTATTTGTTTTCTTTTTATTTATTATACCATTATAATTCTAAAAGCGTCTGCTGATGTCTCAGTGTAATGTAATGTAAGTCAAGTGATGAAGGATTCTGAAAGTCTGACAGTAATCAGTGCTGAGTTCTACTGTAAAGTTAACCCTGCTTGGATTAAATGTTTCAAAATGAATAATAGCTGAAAACATCAAATCAAATGTAATCAGTTACACTACTTAATTACATTTTGTAATCTGTAACCGATTACATTTCCAAAGTAACCTTCCCGACACTGTTCATTCCCAAATCTTTCCATTCGTTCTCCATAGAAGTATCTGTACATTGGCTCACGCTCGGAGGTTCTTCAGCTGCCCTTGGCAAACTGCAGCCGGTACCATTCACAGCCAGACTGCCTTCTGTCCCGCGATCCATACTGCGCCTGGGACAGCGAGGGACGCGCTTGTGTCCGCATCGACCTCCACCGCGGGTGCGTTCTTCTATCTTTGAGTTGGTTCTGCTGCTAACAGCCTTTCCGTGTTGGGGAGGAACTAGTTACATTACACAGAATGATGTACTTGAACTATAAAATAAGGTAGCACTTTATTTTAAGGTGTCCTTGTTACATATGTTACATGTACTTACTATTATAATAAAAATAAATTATGCATAATTACATGCAAGTAACCTTAAACCAAACCCTAACCCTAACTTTATAGTAGGCCCATGTAGATAATTAATATCACTCAGTACTTAAATGTATAAATACACTGCAACAAAGTTACACCTTAAAATAAAGTGTAACCCCTAATAAATGTAACTGTAATCTGTTACTGTAATTAAATTAAAAATGTTAAAGATTACAAAGGAGGGTTACATCTGAATACTTTCTCACACACACACATACATATTTGATTTATTTATTTCCAAAATGGCATTGTCTGCTTTAAAATATGAGACACCAACGTTTCAGGAGTTTAGGACACCGAATAGAACACTTGCTAGTTTTATTTCCTATTTGGGATCATATTTTTTATTACACTTTATTTTAAGGTGTCCTTGTTGCAGTGTAATTATACATTTAAGTACTGAGTAATATTAGTTAAAGGGATAGTTCACCCAAAAATGACAATTCTGTCATCATTTACTCACCCTCAAGTAGTTCCAAACCCGTATAGATTTATTTGTTCTGCCGAACAGAAAGGGAGATATTTTGAAGAAAGTTTGTAACCAGGCTGTTTTGGGGCACCATTGACTTCCATAGTAGGAGAAAAAAATACTATGTAAGTCAATGGTGCCCCAGAACTGCTCCGTTTCCCACATTCTTCAGAATATCTTCCTTTGTGTTCTGCAGAACAAAAACATTCATACAGGTTTGAAACCACTTGAGGGTGAGTAAATGATTTTTGGGTGAACTATCCCTTTAACTACATGTACTTACTATAAAGTTAGGGATAGGATTAGGGTTTGGTTTAAGGTTACTTGCATGTAATTATGCATCATTTATTGTTATTATAATATTAAGTACATGCAACGTGCATGGCATTCGTTAGAAATTTAGAAAAGTAATCAAATGTAGTCAGTTAGATTACTTTAATAAAGTTACTTACTACATTTTAGATAGGGTAACTTGTAATCTGTAACCTACACTCTTAAAAATAAAGGTGCTTAAAAGGTTCTCCACAGTGATGCCATAGAAGAACCATTTTTGGTTCCACAAAGAAGCATTCAGTCAACGAACCATTTCTTTCTTACCTTTTTATAATCTGAAGAGCCTTCTTTTCACCACAAAGAAGCTTTTGTGAAACAGAAAGGTTCTTCAGATGTTAAAGGTTCTTTATGGAACCATTTAGACAAAAACGTTCTTCTATGGCATCGTGAGGCAAAGTAACACTGCATCCTTTCACCGTCATCCATCCGCTGCTTTGCTCGTTGTGCTCTCTTTATTTTATTTCTGTTTCTCTGCCGCTCGTTCCTTTCCCGTTCCACCCATCTGTTCTCCTCTGCAGGACCCTCTTTGTGCTTTTAAGCTGCATCTCTATAGCACTTCTGACACATCGTCAATATTTGTGCTCCCCCCCACAGCTCCACATCCACACTCTCGCAGGACCTCATGCTGGAGAGGTTCAGCCGAGGAAAAGCCAAGTTTGAGAAGCCTTTCTCCATCCCCAGTCCTGGTACGTCCGACGTACGCTGCCCCCTGCAGGCCTGGGCCCCTGTAGTGAGCAGTTCTCCATTAGAGGTCGCATGCACTTCAAAGTGTCAACCAGATTACTGACAAAAAAGCAACAGTGACTGATATATACAGTGCTTAGCACATTTATTAGACCACCTGTCATAAGAGAAAACACTAATGTTTTAGGAATCTGTCTTGTTTAAAATTAAAAATTGTATTGTCATTTATTAGGCAAATGACAAACTGAAACAACTCAATAGTCTTAATGAATTTGCGTTTGATTACAAAAATGTGAGCTGGCACATTCAACGTCTCTCCGAAGTCAGATATTAATCAAGCGTAACATTTTACATTTGAATCTTATTTTTCTATTAAGGACTGCAAGTAAATAACTGTAATTTGGTATCTTAATAAAAATAATAAAGTGCTTTATTATTTTTCTGCCTTTTATGTAAAACAACAATAATTATATTTTGGCATTAGAAATACTACTGTGGATACTGGTGGTCTAATAAATGTGTTAAGCACTCTATGAACCAATGTATTTATATTGATATTAATGAAAATGAATTATATTTTAAAATGTACAATTTTACGTTTTTTTGTTTTTTTGTTTTTTTGTTTGTTATTAAAATGAAGGTGAGACCTATATACAGTATATACATATATATAATTTTATTATTATTTAAAACTAATTTCATTCTTAAATTACCTTTACTTTTTTTTTCAATTAAAAAAAATATGACACAAAAAATAATACCAGACAAATATGAACAAAAATCTAGAATATAATTTTGTTTCAAATAATTTAATCATTGTCAATAGCTGAAGAGAAACAGTAATTTTTTTAGCAGAAACCATTACTAAAAATGCAAAATGTAAAAAAAATTAAGACTATATTATTACATTTATTTAATTTTATTTGTATCATTATTGAAAAAATAAAATATCATATATTAATGTTGTTGTTGTTTTTCTCCCCGGAACATTCACATTTTTAGCAGAAACTGTTACTAAAACAAAATGCAAAATATATTAAAACAAATTAAAACTATATTATTACATTTATTTAATTTTATTTGTATCATTATTTAAAAAATAAAATATCATATATTAATGTTGTTGCTTTTTTCTCCCCGGAACATTCACATTTTTAGCAGAAACTATTACTGAAACAAAATGTAAAAACAAATTAAGACTGCATTATTACATTTATTTATTTGTAATATTATTTTAAAAATTAAATATATTAATGCTGCCATTTTAGCTTGTCCAAACAAAAAAAAATTTTTGTTTTCTATTCCAGCAATATTTGGGTCCATAAATAAAAAACATCAAAGAAAAAACCTCCCCCAAAGTTTGACACCATTGCTCTGTTTGAGCAAACAATTGCTGTAGTCTCATACATTGACAAAATAAATAATTTATTATCATATATTAATGTTTTCTGTTTTATTCCCCCAGATCATTCTAGGTTGCGAAATGTGACTGTGGTTGTTGGGTCAGATCTGGTTTTGCCCTGCCATCTGGTTTCCAACTTGGCCCAGCCTTTCTGGGAGCTCAACGAACGTGAGCTTGCCTTGGTGGAAGGTGGGGCCCCGGGGCCACGATTCGACCAAGCCCTCCGCTCTCTCGTCATTCCCCAAGCTGGGCCCCTTCAAGCGGGCCGCTACATCTGCTACTCGGAGGAGCAAGGCGTGAAGTTCCAGACGGAAAGGTACCAGGTGGCGGTGGTAGCCAGCGCACCTGTCTTCATGGAGGCCCGCGCTCCGGATGGCAGCATGGGTTTGTTCTGGGTCCTGGTGATCACTTTGGGGGCCGCTTGTCTGTTGCTGCTCATTGCATCGTTGTATCTCCGTAGAAGATTGAAGTTGGCACTGGGAAAAGGGGCGGAAATGAAGCCGCTGGAGAGCACTTTGGTGTACCCCATTACTTTGCCCAAAGAGCCTCCAAGCCGGCCGTCATTTGTGCCGAGCAAGATGGCAAACGATGATGATCGCTTTTGGGAAACGGGGGCGAATTATTACTACTCAGACGGCTCGCTAAAAATCGTGCCTGGGCATGCATTGTGCTCCACCGGAAGCTCGGCATCGCCGAGTGCAATTCCCGGTCAGCCTATTCACTCGCCGAGCAGGCTGAGCCTCACCAACATTCGGAGCTCAAACGCCAACGGATACATCCGGCTCAATCTGAGCTCGGCCGGAGAGGAGAGATCCGGCATTGGAGCGGCGGGGATGGGAATCGGGATAGGCGGCCGAGACAGCGACTACTCCAGTCCGTTCAAAGAGGAGCTCCGGAAAACTCTGCAGCAGAGAAGCGTGCTTCCCGACGCCAATCCCGAGGAGTCTTCTGTGTAAATCCCGCAGGAAAACGACAGAAAACCTCACCTACCTCCCTCCTGCTTGGGGAACTCTCTTCATCCGCAAACTCTTTCTTCTCTGTCAGCACTTCCATCTCCCGTGCCATGAGGCCACCGTGCTTCACGACATTCCCTTGGATTATTCTCGGTGAGAACACACTACTAACACTCGACCGAGCTTTTGTAAATGACTGTATTTAAAGGACCAGACCGACAGGGCCTCGTGTTGATCTTGGCTAAACGCAGGTACATCTCTGAGAGGAGCCCAACCAGCCAAATGTAGCCGTCAGTCTGATCTGACAACAGATCCCAATCATTTGGCAAGCTGCAAGAGGACGCAGAGTTTATTTTTAACGTCTTGAGGTCGCTTGCCTCAGGTGTCCGGACACGTTTTTGGCACCCTTTGAGAGAGGAGACGAGGACATGCATAAACTCAAATCGCTTGATGACAATCACGCTCGAGGAAAGCAGAGGAGACATTATTAAAGGGGGAAAAACAACCGAGTGAGCTGTAAACCCGAAACAAGACTTGAATAACGAACAAATGCTTTGCCTTTCTTTCTTCGCAGCTCAAAAACTTTTTTAAACATTGTCTTTTTTCTGAGAATGTGTACTGAGACTTGCAGAACTAATATATAGTGAGGTTTTTCCATGTCTGTTTATTGCAAGGATTTCTTCTTCTTCTTCTTCTTCTTTTACGATTGATAGTCTCATCTGAAATGTGAAAGGATTACCAATGCTAGTAGCATGCAACAGAATGTTGCACTAAGACTGTGTTGGATGCGACAGCAAGTGCATTATTGTATATATTTGGCTTGAGTTGCCAAATGAAGTACAACCCCAGTGTTTGCCTACATGATAAAGCAGGTGAATGAAGCCACATGATGGAATGAAACCTTCCTTCTGGAATGGTATAGAAGACTCCGCCCACGTTATGAAGCCGAATTGTTCTGCATGAAAGGGATCCTTTACAGATGACAAGGAGCTGGACTTTTTGAAGAAGTCCAGAATGAATGGCAGAGGCTACGGCTGATCAAACGCAGGTGAGACTACGCCAAATCGTATATTTGGGATGTTTACTTGATTTGAAATTATAGTTAGTTTTGTTTGAAATTATACATTACCGTTTCAAAAATTGGTGCGATTTTTTTTTTCATGTTGAGTCTCTTATGTTCACCAAGGCTGCTTTTATTTGATCAAGAATGCAGTAAAAACTGTAATATTGTGAAACATTATTACAATTTAAAAGTACCGTTTTCTATTTTTCTGCCCTGAAAGTGTCTGGCCAGCCAAAACCGTAAGTCGTAGAAACACCAAATTTGGCAGGATTGTCCCAAATCTCCCCCACTACTCAGGTGCACAAACACACCCCGATCAGACCATAGGTGGCGCTATAATGAGTATTTTTACGTTTTTGCTCATATCTCCACAACTATACAGGTTACAATCAAAATTCAAAGTTACAATCTGATTCTCTGCGTCAAGCTGAACAAAACGTATATCTCTGATTTTTTTTCATGCATAAAATTATTCCACCACTCTGAGCTGTTTTATAAATCATCTTTTTCGAACTCGTTCTAGACCATTTGTCCAAATTTTGTGTGTATCATCTACAGACCCTCGTGACAAAAAGTTATCAAAAGAATTTGGATCAAATGGGTTTAGAGCAATGGCTACTAAATGTATTGGTGGATATCTTCTAAACGGTTCGACTAATTAAAATTATTTTGATCACTTTTTGTCATTAGTGTCTATAGATGCTACATGCAAAATTTTATCGTGATCGCGTTGTTTAAAATCTGTGTAAATGGTTGAAATGTATTAACTTTGCATAAGATGCATTATAGTTTCATAAAGTATAATAAAACAAGTTTAATCATTTTCTAAAGAAATCTGTGATCTCCAAAATACCTTCATATTTATTAATATATCATAATTTCAGAAATTATTTGTCAAGTTGTCAGACATGACTGCATATATTACGGTCCAGTTAAAATGAAGAGACAATATTATTTGTCTATTGACCCAGGTGAAAAAGTGCAGTAAAATACACTTTATTCAGTACACTTCCATAATGTACTTACATTTACATTTAGTCATTTAGCAGATAATTTTAGATTAAATAATTCATTTTAAATGTAATGATGTTAACATTCCCTTTATATGATACTTAACTACATGTTTATGGTGTCGTTAAATAGTACAATCAAGTACACTATGTCATTAATAGCAAAAAAAAGATAGCACTTTACTAAAAGTATACTTACTGTTAAATTGTGAATTTTGGTACACATCTAAATGCATATAAATGAATAATCCATTCATGTGCTATTAGTGTGGGAAATAACAGAGGATTCAAATGTGAGCTCAGCAAAAAATAGTTTATTAGAGGAAGCAGAGAGCAGCAGACCGAGATCAAGATCTTGGGTGCAAGAGAAATAGTCCACTGGTAGCGCTGTGACTGCAATGAACAGTCCAGGACCGGAACCAAGCAGAAATCCAACCGTAACGACAGCCAACAGTCCAGGGCTGCGTTTCCCAAAAGCGTTGTAAGCCTAAGTACATCGTAGACCCATTGGCACCAATGCATCTACGATCAGCTGAGCTTACGATGCTCTTGGGAGACGCAGCCCTGAGCAGGCGCGAGGAACAAGGCCAAAAAAGAGCTAGAGCGCTTCCAGGACAAGACACCACAAAAACACCAACGATCTGGCAACACAGAGTAAGAAGCAACACCATTGAATAGCAGAGCTGATGAGCCAGAGAGGGAGAGAGAGACAGTGAACCTGTGAACCGTGACAATTAGAGCAATTATAGTAGCCTAAGCACAGTAACCTACAGGGTTTTACTTAAGTAATGCATTTCTACTGTATTTTTCATGAAAATCCCAATAGAACTTGGTGATAGTATATATAAAAACCCACTAAAATTGTATGTAAAGCGATTGTAGCACACTTTTATGCAATGCAATTATAAAACACTTCTGGCACTTTATCTGACTACACTTAAAATCAGTGTTAGTGCTAATTAGTGTATTTATATTAAGTGTACTTAAGTAGCACAGTTGCAAAACTCTACTTATAGCTATCACATAACTAATATATTTTAAATAAAATCAATTTAATTTAAACTTAGGATAACTATATAAAAGTGTACTAACATTGAACTAATTTTTAAATCATTCAAAGCATGCTTTTATGAAATACACTCATAAAAGTCCTCTGTATATTTTTGCAGTAGTATACTTTATTACAATGCACTAAAATCAGTTTAAATCTCAGCGGTATTTAGTATACTTTTGCAATTGCACTGAAGTGCTACTGAAGTAGAAATATACTTTTAATTAGTGTATTTATAGTGTATAACTATACTTAGCACAAAAAAAAATAAGAATGTACTAAAAATGTACTTGCTGGTATTTAAGTATTTTTTAGTGCATTCAAGTATACTTTTTTTTTCAGTCAGTTGGACTTGCATATTTGACCTGTTTTTGAATGTCAATTTTGATGTCAATTTTGATGTCTTTTCAACATCAATTGCTTAATGAGGCGTGCTTGGACCCCGATGATTGCCGCTTGCGGCTATATTTTAAAATATAATTTATTGCTGCGATGCAAAGCTGTATTTTCAGCATCATTAATCCAGTCTTCAGTGTCACATGGTCCTTCAGGAATCATTCAAATATGCAATATTTATTCGAGACAGACATTATTTGTTAAGTATTCATTTCTTTAAAGACACAAAACCTTTGAACGGTAGTGTATAAACCAGCAAATTATTAATAATTTTGATGATTTGTATATGTTTTGTTTAAATATCTATAAAAAGACACTAAAAATGTACTTGCTGGTATTTAAGTATTTTTTAGTGCATTCAAGTATACTTTTTTTTTCAGTCAGTTGGACTTGCATATTTGACCTGTTTTTGAATGTCAATTTTGATGTCTTTTCAACATCAATTGCTTAATGAGCCGTGCTTGGACCCCGATGATTGCCGCTTGCGGCTATATTTTTAAATATAATTTATTTCTGTGATGCAAAGCTGTATTTTCAGCATCATTAATCCAGTCTTCAGTGTCACATGGTCCTTCAGGAATCATTCAAATATGCAATATTTATTCGAGACAGACATTATTTGTTAAGTATTCATTTCTTTAAAGACACAAAACCTTTGAACGGTAGTGTATAAACAGGCAAATTATTGATATGTGAGACAGACTAAAAGATATCCTGTGTTTAATAATATAACAAAAACACCAACACTAATACTAATTATTATCATTATTACCATTATTGTTAATTTTGATGATTTGTATATGTTTTGTTTAAATATCTATAAAAAGACAACAAAAACACTGTTAATAGACATATTTAGATTTTTTTTCTGAATAACCTATAAAAGCTGAAAACTGACTCTCTTTTGTCTTTCAGTGTATGTCAATTTTGATGTCTTTTCAACATCAATTGCTTAATGAGCCGTGCTTGGACCCCGATGATTGCCGCTTGCGGCTATATTTTAAAATATAATTTATTGCTGCGATGCAAAGCTGTATTTTCAGCATCATTAATCCAGTCTTCAGTGTCACATGGTCCTTCAGGAATCATTCAAATATGCAATATTTATTCGAGACAGACATTATTTGTTAAGTATTCATTTCTTTAAAGACACAAAACCTTTGAACGGTAGTGTATAAACCAGCAAATTATTAATAATTTTGATGATTTGTATATGTTTTGTTTAAATATCTATAAAAAGACAACAAAAACACTGTTAATAGACATATTTAGATTTTTTTTCTGAATAACCTATAAAAGCTGAAAACTGACTCTCTTTTGTCTTTCAGTGTGGGCTTTGCAACTCTTAAAGACTAAATACAAAAACAGGGTGAAAACGGAAAGCAGAGGACATTTCATTCCGTTGACTTTGATTGTGAAGACAAATGAAGGAGATTTGTTTATTTTCCCGTGACCCTGCGGGTGGAGAGGCACTACGAGGCTCATCACGGATCCATACTTTGCTGCATGATGTTCTGCAAAATATATCGTATCAGTTTCAACAACAAAACAACAGTCTCATGTATTTCAAAAAAGGAAGAGAAAACAACAAGAGTTTTCGTACCTGTGCCTCTTCACCTCGGGTGAAGCCAAAGCAGACTGCAGACATGTTTCTTCTGTTTCTCGTTTCTTTTTATTCTCTCTTTTCATGTTCTGGAATTTGTCCATTGCACAGAACTAACAAGTGTTGTCTGAAATCTTCGTTACTACTACTCTACACTTGTTTTGGTGGAATGCTGTTCTTTGTGGCATGAGAGCTTTACGATTTTCTCAAGCGGCTTTCCATTCTGTCATTGGCTCTTTTCTAGTCTACAATCTAGCACTGCATAAGAGGGAAGTTTACACTTGTCAGAAAAGATCTTTGTACTAGAGAAATGTCAGATTAACAAGGACGCAATCCTTTCTGCCAGGACTTCTCAGGGTGGGCTTCTGACTCTCTTGAAATTGTGAAATTTCACCGTTTTTTAATTTCACTGTTCGCTTTGATAAGCCTGTCTGATGACTTAAAGTCAGACGTAATTTCACTGAGCGACCAAGAAGTGTTGCATATGCTTGTTTGCATCATGCATGGCTTTTTTTCCTGCTTGTTTAGAAAAAAATCTCAGTTCGTTTCATCTTACATGGCTTTAAACCTGCTGTTACTTTGTGAGTTTTTGTATTACGAAAAAAAAATTTTTTTTGCAATTCAAGATATCTTTTAAAAATCTTGCTGTTATGTTTTTTTCCTTCTTTTTTTTTTAGGTAATTATGTTCCGTAACTTATTTTGCTTGTACAAAAAGTTGATATTTATTACCATTGTACACATGCTCTTATTTTTTATATATGTATATATCAACAGAAAATAAAAGTAGAGATCCGTTCACAGCGAGTAGGTTGTGTTTTGCTTATTTGAGTGTTCCATTCAAATGCCATTGAAATGTCAGGTGTTACATTTGCTTAATGCAGAATGTCTGTGTAGTGCTTCTGCTAAAAATATATCCATTCAGTGTTTGGCGAACCTCATGGAGTCCACACACAACACTTGAACAATAACCAAAAGTGAGGTCTCTGCTGCTTAGGCTGGGCCTCCAATTCACAGCCGTCTATAAAAGATAGAGAAGAAGAGAGAGCCATTATCTGCAAAATATTTGCTTTCTAAGCTGAGACTGTATCTTTCTTCTACCTATACTTGTGTAGTTTTATTTTTGTATTTTTTGAAAGGAATTAGTATACTTTTATTCAGCAAGGACACATTAAATTGATCAAAAGACATTTATAATGTTACTTTTTCTGTTTCAAATAAATGCTGAACATTCTATTCATCAAAGAATCCTGAAAAAAACGTTTCCACAAAAATACTAAGCAGCGCAACTGCTTTCAACAATAATAATAAATGCTTCTTGAGCAGCAGATCAGCATATTATACTGATTTCTGAAGATCATGTGACACTGAAGACTGCAGTAATGTATCGCAGGAATAAATTACATTTTAAAATATGTTAAAATAGGAAAGAGTTATTTTAAATTATAATAATATTTCACAATATCAAAAGATCAAATGAGCATAAGTGACTTCTTTCAAAACAAAATGTTTTAAATGTAGTGTAAGCCTGAGGAGAAACAAAGTTCTGGTTATTTATTATTTTTTTTGATTGATTATTTTTATGACAAGTCTCTAGACAGCAGAATGATAAATAGTAGCGTAAAAACATAATGTAAAATTCAGTCATTATATTTATTTAAATAAAAATGAGTGTCCTGTAGGCATAAAGAATATTTTTACTGAATTTGTTTATACTCTGTTCCTTTATTTAACCAGAATAGGTTTCAGAGGAAATGTAAGAACTGGAATTAATTTTCTATATATAAAACTATTTTACTTTTTGGCAAATTGGTGGCAAATTTGGTGGCAATTGTACAATCTCATTCATAATAAGCTTTAGTGCGATATTTAAACATTTATTCATTTAGCTGTTTTCAAACAAGAAATATAACTAATGCCTCAGACTTGACCTGGAAGCAACATTAATAATTCCATCTGCAACCGTCAAAAACTTGACCCAGATGCTTATATTAGTAAACTCTCTAAAGCCACGTTTTTACAACTGTGCCGTATTGCCAAACTATGTTCCTGTGTCAGCCCAAAAGATGCAGAATCATTAGTGCATGCATTTATTATCATAACTCTCCTTGACTACCGTAATGCTCTTTTTTCTTTCTTTTTTTGGACTACCAGTGCACTCTATCTCCCGTTTGCAATAATATATTCATAACTCTGCTGTGTTATGGCTCCTATAAGCTTGGGAACTCTTAGCCCCTGTCTCTTAGGACAATAACCACACTGCACGGATTTAAGCCTAAACTCAAAACCGTTCGTTTAACCTACTACTGGTTGTAAAAGCTGTTATGTTTCTCTGTTTGAATTTGATTGCTTGCGCTACTATTGTGTCATGTCTTGGACTTGGTCAAATGTTTACATTTAAATGATTATGTATGAAATTATTGTTTGTTGAGCTATATAAATTAAACATATTATTATTCTCATTATATGACCCTGGAGCACAAAACCAGTCATAAGGGTAAATTTTTCGAAATTGAGATTTATGCATCATCTGAAAGCTGAATAAATAAGCTTTCCATTGATGTATGGTTTGTTAGGATCGGACAATATTTGAAAATCTGAAATCTGAGGGTGCAACAAAATCTAAATATTGAGAAAATCATCTTTAAAGTTGTCCAAATGAAGTTCTTAGCAATGCATATTACTAATCAAACATTAAGTTTTGATATATTTACAGTAGGGAATTAACCAAATATCTTCATGGAACATGATCTTTACTTAATATCCTAATGATTTTTGGCATAAAAGAGAAATGTATAATTTCTCCAGGCTCACTTATTATTATAATGTGTTTTTTTGGGGGGGTTTTTCGAGAAACATTTCCATTGACCTCCTACAACCACAGAGGTTTCCGGACCCCATTTGGAAATCCTAATCAGTTGTTAGTGGGCAGATTCAGCCAAATTGTCAGCCAAAAATGCACTGTATAAAGCTCATAAAGACAAAACCTGATTTGGGGTGACCCTATAAAGTCCTCTAACAACCTCCCCAGGCCCATTCTGGCCATTACCTTGAACCATATGATAGATTCCCAAGGTGTCTCTGCAGAAAATCTAGCCAAACTCTTGGCTCAGGAGTCCATCTCCCACCGCAATCATGATTGTTCCCCGTTACACAGCTTCCAGTAACTACCGCCCGCTGCCACAAGACAAACAATGTTGTTTTACAGGCCTAGAGCTTGAGGTTGCAGCATCTTATTGATGGAGATAACAACAGTGGTGATGATCAGGCCCGTAGGCTATTCACAAAACATCTTAAGGCTAAAAGTAGCTCATAACTCACCGATTTAGGAGAAAATCTTAAAAAATAATGGGCATGTCAGTCCTATATTTAGGGCTCCTGATTTTGTCTCTAAGAGTATTCCACAAAGCATTTTAGCGCTAAAACTAACTCCTAAATCTGTGAAGCATTAGTGAAGAGGACTCCTAAGTCACTAAGACCAAACCACAATCTATTCTAAAAAGGCTGTTATTGCCGGCAATCTGCCTCGGAACGTAAACATTTTGGAAACATTTGACGATAATGAACATTTAAATAGGTTATCCTTACTCCAAATTTCCCTTTGATTATATCCTTGCTTTCATTAACCAGCTTGTAAGAAGTAACGGCGGTTCTTGCGTCCAGTTTGGTTTTCTTTTACGTTTGCATGTCTCACTATCAGCCATGATTATTCCACTCTGTTAATTAAAAGGCTGTGTATAATTGTTTTTGAGAAGCACACATGTAAGAGGCTGACAATTAGCTGAACATGTATACTTGTTTAATTAGTGACACTTAGCCTGCATTTTTAAACCTTTATTTGAATATGGCAACATAATATCGCGCTCTACAGTAATTCTATGAATGAATCTCTGACAGAGACTATCAGCCAATCACTGTGTGCATAGTTAATAAGCACGCTGACATCATCCATAGCAACAAGCTCAGCCCCGCCCCCTTACTCTGAGCTTAAGACTTCTCTCTATTCCTTAGTACAAGTTTATCTCAGCAGCTTTGTGAATAGGTTTTAAGAGAAAACTCTTTCTTCTTTTTTTTAGCATTTTTTGAAAAGTGTGTGAAAAATTGTGTTTTATGGTCGGTCACAATTGTGGGATAATGTGTGAACTGAATTAACATATTTCTGCAGTCATAAAAATGGTTATATATCTTATCCCTGCTATTTTAAACACTTTGATCACATTCTAGGGTTACTATTAACCCTTGATAGGAATACTGAGATACAACCATCAACGTATTTCAAAAGTGTTACTTTATTGTAACATATATCATCACATTTTTACATTAGTGCTACCAGTATTACAACATCAATATTGTAACATATTCGTAGCACTTGAACTTTTAATTTAGTGCGATATTTTGTCATTGCAACATTTTAGTGCAGTCTTCACTAACAACTGCAGCTGGATTTATATAGTTCACTCACTAGTGTGACTCATTCTATGGCCACACTCAACAAAACTGAATATATGTATTCATATATTAATACTAGACACCTTAATGATAACGTGTACCAAAAATCTTTGTCATATCTTTACTAGTCTTTCGTTTTGGAGCTTTGATGCAGCATCATCTTCTCATGTTGCAAACCGGAAATAAACTGCTTTGATCATGTGACAAATCATGTGAAACTGCACATATTTAATTGAGACCCTTTATTTTTTCCATATTTGCAGGAAGTGCACTAAAAATCAGCCAGTAAGGTTTTTAGGGCTTTATAAATGAAAACCTTTTTTAGAGTCACTATCGTGACCGGTGGGATTAAATGGGTTAAAAGCAACACTGTGCATGCTGGCAAACATTTTTCATCAAATTAGTTGCAGAATTAACTTGCTTGTTACATTACAGCAGAAGTGAAATCTAGAGATTTCTTTCATGCATCTCGTCAAAGGCTTGCTCACAGCATGCGTGTTATTTAAACTCACCTTATTTTTCATTACTTTGAATGACTGCACAAACATATTCACATGTTCACACTTTGTTGAGAGGTCTCCACAATCTCAAGACTGTTTCTGAATGTCCTGCTGGCGTAAAGTCTGTTTACGGAATCCTTTTCTGTTCATATTTCAGCAAAAAAGGCTTCACAGTCAATGCAAGAATGAACATAAAATAAAGTATTCTCAGCATTTACTCACGCTCATGTTTCCAGATCTCTATGACAAAATGAGAATACAATGTTTCTTCTGCTCTTTTGCCAAAACAGTCTCATTACGACTCTTTTATTTCGGTTTATTGCTGGCAATTTTGCATGAATTTGTACGATCTGTTTAAGCGCCACTGTTTTGGTGAAGGAAATGAACAGAAAATGATTGAATGATAAATATATCTTTACACCAACAGGACACTCAAAAGTCTTGAGATCCAGGAGGCCTGAATGAATGAAAAGGTGAATATGTTCTTGCAATCACTCCAAATGATGAAAAGTATGGCGATTTATTTTTCATGTGAATGTATGAACATAAAAATCTTAAAATCTCTGCAAAATGCAAAATGTAGCATTTTTTTTGCGCGCCAAAACAGTGTCATTGCAACTATTTTAACATTGTGGCAAATTGGTGGCAAATTCA